TTTCGTTATTTATTGAAAGAACCGTATAATGAAATTCAAGTCAAAGAAGCCAAAGACAGACTCTTATCACGTTTTCCGATCACTTTTAACAATTTCGATCCTGTTACAGGTGAAAAGAAAACTGAAAGATTTTGGCTAAATTGTAGTCAAATATTTTCTTATGATGATATCCACTATTTATTAACAGCACCATATAGTAACACAGATCGATATAGAAAATTGAGGTGCAGGCTATTAGCTCTTGCGAAAACTCAAATAGGAGATTCGATTAAGTCCGATCAGAAGTTGTTGATAATTGGTGACATTTCATTCTAACTTACGAATAATATTTTATCCATATACTAAATCAACTGCTCGATCAATTACTAAAGCATACCATTCTCCTGGAGTATGCTTATATTTTTTTGCCATCCCTCATCATCGTAAATATACTTCTGGGGTTTTCCCACATCTTCGAACTCCCGGAGATATATTTCTTCGCTTATTAACCTTTCCCTCCTCGTCATGTAAAATAAATCATTCGGGTCCATCTTATTTTCTCTAGCAAATTCGATGACTTCTGCATCCGCCATCATCCTGTCTCGATACTCCTGAGATAAGTTGACATCTTTTTCTGTAATAGTTATAAACTTATCAGGGTCTTCACCATGATCGATTGCCCATTTTCTGAGACGCTCTTCTCGCTGGATTCTTGTAGATAATATTTTATTATTACTGGGTTTGGGTGCTTTCAACACATTACTGGTACGCTCGATAGGCTCAGATGGTTCAGAAGCCTTAGTAGTTTCGGATGTCCCAAATGTTGAGGCGACTGGAGCACAGGTATCTTCGTCTTGTTTATCCGCCTTCTTATCTTTAGTAGTTCTAGGTGGAGGTGTACTCTTTTCTGAAATAGGCGGGATTATTTTTGGGAGAATAATTTCTGGTACATTGAATATGGGTATGTCTGTGGGTTCACTCTGTGAACATAAATCTTCTTGAAGTATTTCAGAAAACTCTTCGATATCGCCTAGGCCAGATTCATGAAGCTTAGTTATGATCTTGGAGCGGTCGAAAATATATTGCCATTCCCTTTTTCCACCACCTGTCCGCACTTGTTTGCTCTCAATACCAATATCTGAGAATTTCTTCCCAGCAATGTTATTAGAAAATGGCTTTTCACCATTCTCTCCACACCATCAAGATACTTCTGATATAATAATGTACGACTTGGACTGGCTACTTTATCTCCGCACCATGAAGTAATATAGTCAATTATAAATCGAATGGGATTAGGTAATTGGTCTCGCATTGTTTTTATCTTCATTTTAGTTGCAGGAATTTCTCCCGGATTCTAGTTAGATATATCACGATTAAGAAGATATGTCATAACTACTCCTGGTGCATCAGGATGGTCTAGGACTTTTCCTAACCGGTTAAAATATGATGTATTGCCTCTACAACGTGCTGAGACATCAAAACAAACTATACGAGAATCTCCTATATCTATTTTAAGTGGAGCGTCCTGATTGCTTGTAACCATATATCCAGCATAATCATTTATTCGTATAGTTTCAAGGCCTTTGCGTTCTATAGCCACTTTTCCTTCTGTTATAAGGGATTTGAGATGTCCATTAAACCTATGCCATTCTCCAGTAGACATTCCTGTCTCATTCATGACAATTAGTTTTCGAGCTTGAATAGCGCTATTAAACCGTCCAAGAATTTTACCCAAATCTGATGTTGCAAAATGAAGATGCGGTCCCAGAACTTTATCCCCAATAAAATCTGTAATAATATTTTTTCCGCATTGCTGAAGCATAGATTTTAAGACCAGAATTGAGCGAGGTTTCTTTTCTGGCTTTTGCACTAGATATGCCCACCAATTCCAAAGATATTCATGAAGCTTTACATTTTCATCACTGATTATATTCTTCGTATGCCAGAGAATGGGATCCATAATTTCAGAATTAATCTTATATATCGGTTTGGCTAGAAATCCTAGGAAAAGATTAAAGTACTCAGTAGTTGGACGTGAACATTTCAAGGAATATGGGAGAAAGTTAATATCATCATAAAGTATTATACCTTTGGTAACTGCTTGACTTATCAATGATTTTAACTTTATCGATTCCCCTCCATATTCGATTATATTGATCTTAAACTTGGCAAGATCTAGTTTGGGTGCCATATCGAAATGAAGGCCATTTTCTGGATCTTTGAGCTTGAGTATCCAGGTTTGTGAAGTTTTCTGAATACAGGCAACTGATGACTGAATTGCTTCATAAACTTCAGCACGAGAGAATTTTTTACCTGAAGTACACATACGCAGTAGGTCGCCCCATACAAAATGATCATTTGGATCTGATATTCTAGATCGGTCTATTTTTACCGGACTTGGAAGCTTTTGTTCTCGATCTAAGGCAGTTTCGCTAATAGTAAGTTTTTTCGAAGATTTTCCAGAGCCAGGTTTCCTGTCATTGTTTGCTCGGTAGCAGAAAAAGCTGTAAGATTTTTTATTTCGTATTATATAGGCGTTATCACTATCATGTTCTCGGTCACATATTGGGCAGTGCGATGGAGAGATACGTGATAATGGAAATTTGTTAGGAAAGTTTTCAGATGGGTATGAGAGATTATACCCTTCGATGCTAGCTTCTTGAAGCAATCCTTCTACTAGTTCGATTTCAGCTAGGGTTGTCTCATTACTTATGTTAGCATATTTTACGTTTTCCGTCTCTGGAATAACCAAGAGAGGACTGTTATCGATAATTTCTGATTCATCATTGGGTGAGCGGATCATGAAGTCGAAGATAGATCCATCTTTTGGACAAATAGCTTTTTTTATACGAATGTGTTCCTTTGTTTTTTCATTGTATTTGGGTGATCTAAGCATTCGCAAGGAAAATGATCGTTTGTTTGCTATATTGTCTACAATACCATTATCCTGTAATCCTGCTGGGAGTTTTTTACGAACAAGCTCAGTAAATACTGTAACCTGAGCGATGCTTGGAAGTCTCATACTGAAAGTTGAGACATGGAGAGATATTTTTTTCGCATCACTACTATCGGCAATAGATATAGTTTTTTTATCCCATTTTGGGAATATTTCTAGACAAACATCTCTAAAAGCATTACAAAGTGTGTTTTTAGCCTGTTTGTCTGATAGCTTAGGTGAAATAGCATTTAGTGTTTCTTTTGGTAAATCGAAATCTATGATAGAACGGAGTAACTCATCGCCATCAATAATCTCGTGTAGGGAATGCCCATTATGATTTGAAAGTATTGCTTCTATCTCATCTGCATTATCTCTACCAAGGAAATGTCTTGGTTTAACACTATCATCTCGAATTTTATATAGAGATACACCTATATCAGAAACTTTAAATCCTTGATAGTGTGAGGCGGGGGCGTCGAGGAACTCAGAAAGCTCAGATTAGGTCATAATATTATATCACAAATATACAATTCGAGAGAAAGTATATATTCCGGGAGATAAAAGTTTAAAATGAAAATTAATTCTGAAATATATAAATCGAAACATAAACCAACCATTCATAGTTATTAAAAATGGCATTTTATAGATGTACTTATATTCATAGGAGTGGTGAGATTTGCAATCGGGGATGCTTCTATCCGAAAGGATGTCATATTCATCGTAATTCTCCTTCTCAGGTACCTTGCAATGAATATGGATGCAATAAATTAACTTATGGCAGATATGGATTTTGCGATATTCATGCTAGAAAGTACCGTAAAAGGGAACAATACCATCAGAAAAAGCTGGCCGATTTGACTTCAATGCAGGAAGTGGTAGGTAAATAGATGAAAATAGAAGTGATGCAAAATAATACAACTTGACAATAGTGTCACTGGAAAAAAAACTGATGACAGAAGCTAGTGACGTAGACGATAGGCTCTTTAGGAATTCTAAGCTGAAAGAAAGTCTTCTTGATGAGTGTCACCAGTGTCAATAGCATCACTGGAAAAAATTCGAGTCTCTTAACTTTTTTTATTTTTTATAGCATCTATACACCACATATATATCATACATACACTATATAAACTATTTACAAACATGCTTTCTTAATATTTTGCTCTGAAGTTTTTTATTAAAATCATCCAATTTTTATCATAATAACTAATAATCTTAATTCTTTTAGTGATTGATCTATTGAACTCATTTAAAATATTGTTAGTGATAGTCTTATTATGATACATAATACTATGCTAAATATAATTAATAAATAGTAATCTTAACAATCACAATTCTCAACTTTTTACTATTTCTCTGATTTCTCTAATTTTACTAATTTCTTAGCGATCTCTAATTTACATATTTCTTTAATATATTTAATTTCATTATTTTATTATATTTCTTATATTTCTTTATTTTCTTAAATATCTATTTTATATTGATGTATTTTATATAAATATCATGTATTTCTACCTCATTAAATGGCAGAGTCGTTACAAATTCTCTAATAAATCAATAATATTTTATCTCTTAAACTTATCTTTGCTTATTAAACAAATTTATTCTTTTTTAAATCTATATCAATAAAGATGATCTGATCCTTCAATTTAATTATTCATGTTTATTTTTCCTATAGTTTAAATGCACTTAAACTTTCTGCTGGCAAATAATCTTTGTTACCTTAATAATGAACAGTTTAAGCTTAATAATTTTATACACTAATATACTGCTAAGTTTTTCATAGCTCAATAATTGCAAAAAGAAGCATATTTCATCTTTTAACAGTAAAATATAAATGCATTTAGACAAAATTTTGTAAATGCTATTAAATATTCATATTTACCAAAGCAATTGAATACATTTTCCCAAAAGTGTGTTATAATACTTTTAAATATATTTACAAAAATATACCAAATGCATTATATATATCTTTCAGTCATTAAAATATCATCTAATAGTATTAATACATATAAATTGCCTTCTTTAAGTTATGAAATTATTGATCATCACCTTTTGTAAGGTTTTGTTACTTCTAAAAACCAAATACTACCATTCTTTACAATTATTTGTATTGTGAATATACTAACTGCTTGATTGATGATATCATTTTCATATGTAGGTATGAATATCATAACTATTATCTATAAAGATGCTAATTTAAATATCTAATATGTTAATGTATCTTCAATATGAGATCATCAAAAATGTAGATGCTCTAATAATCAGTGTTACAAAGAAATCAAGTAAACAAGAATTTGGAAAAAGATACTAGAAAAGATGCAACTAAAGATAATTTAACTAATATAAATAAAATTAAGGAAGAAACAGAAAATTTGTTAGAATATGCAAAAGAATTATTTTTAAAATTGTAAATTATTTGTATTTATTATATTTACTTATTTTATCATTATATAATTATGATTGAATTTCAATTAGTTAATTACATCATGTATAAAATATAATTTTTATTTAATTAACTAATAATTTTTAAATATGATAGGCTTTTAAAATCATATGATTTCATTTCAAAAATTATGATTTTGATTAATTGATTAATGTATCGTCATTTTACTAAATTTGAGATTTTTGTGTAATAGGAAACTATCACTTTTAGACTATTAATATATATCAATTAATTATTAATTATCTCTAAAATTTATGTTGATAATTTTTATAAAATCTAATTTTAAATTTTTGATTAACATTACACAAAAATTTAAGTATTTTTACTAGCCATAATTACTTGCTTTATTCTTAAGCTAATAGCCTCTAAAATCTAACTAAATAAAGTTTATTTAATAAGAATCAAAAATCTCATTTTTTGTTAAAAAGTTCCCATAAACCATTTTTAATATCATATCATCCTTATACCCTTTTTCTAGTTCTATATAGGTTTGATGATTTAAAGTCTTCATTATTCAATAGAAAGGATAAATTAATATAACTAATTGATAAAATAAAAAAATAAAAATTACTTACTACAGATGATCGCTATTTGGATTCCTGAATAATGATCTTTCTTTTAAATGAATTTCTCTCATTAATTTCTGAAACTTCTATTATGATAGTGATTATTAATTCAAACCTATTAATAATTCTTATTTATCATTCTTATTTCTAATATTTTTTTTAAAAAAAAAATAATTAAAAAGTTATTAAAATAAATAATCTAACAGTTTACTTATTATATAATAATATGGATTATCATACTTTTTTCTCTTTTAGAAGTTATTTCATTCATTTTCTCTTTTTTTCTTAAGTACTTTTTCTCTTTAGTATTAGTAGCATTCATGAATAATATGTTTTATTATAGAATCTGCTATCAGAAATACTTTTTTATTAATCATTTTATGTATAATTAGTATTATATGATTATTAACCAACTTTTGTTAATTTTCAAAAATTTGTTAATATCAAATCTTTAGTTTTCAGAAAATTTATTAATAATACTGATTATTTTAGAATAATCATAAAAATGTAAATCAATTAGTAAATAACTTAGGTAAAATTAATTCAAATAAAAAATAAAACGTTAATGTATTTTGTAACTTCCTATTCATATTTTTATAAAGATTTTGAAAAATTAAATGGTGAAGAAAAAGATAAGGATCAACCTGAACTGTTTTAATCAGAATGACTACTGATAGATTTAGTACATCATCTTTATAATAAACTTTTATAGGTAATTACCTAAAAATATAAAGAAAATATAAGAAAATAGTAATCAACTATTAACTAATTGTTTGCTTATTTGTCTTCTTATTATTTAGATGCTTCTTTTTAATTTTTCCTTTATCAGAGATATCTGAACTGTCAGAACTATCAGATGATGATAATATAGCTGCTGCTGCTTTTGAGAAATCAGTCTCTTTATATTTGAATCTTTTGATATAATAGCTTTTTTTGGTTTTTTTTCATCTTCAGTTTCCTTTCCTTTACCTTTTATGACTGTTTTTACCAATTTAGCAATTTCATTTATTTGTCATGTAAAATGATTACTGTATATTAAAAAAAAAATTAAACAATCAGATTACACCTAAAATTCTTTTTAATTCTAATTCTTTTTTTTTCATTTTGGAATTACTGAAATCTTTTCAATTTAATTTTCTAACTAAGAATATTTGATTAATAATATATATATAAATAAATAATATATATTGATTATTGATTTTTATCATCATCATTCTTTCTTGAACAATATCAATCAAAACTGGTTTTTTTGATTATCTTTTTTCTTTACGTTAGTTTTATTTTTCTCTTTTACTACTTTTTTAGTCCTTTTGTTTGATTATTTCATTTTTTATATTTTTTATTATCAGAAGATTTTACATTAAAAAGAAAATATTTACTAAATTTTTTATTATTTATATTAAAAATAAAGATTTGGTAAAATTAAAATTTAATATTAAAATAGTATTTAATCAGCAAGATAAAAGATAAAAAAATTTAGAAATTGAATGAGTAGAAATAGTAAGAAAGGTAGTATATTTATATATTTTCAAAAGTACATTTTGATTATTTTGTAATAAAATTATAATATGAATTGGTATTATATTAATTAAAATTCAAGTATTAATAACAGTATAATAAAAATTTACAATATAATATATTGAAAAATTAGATTTTGAATCGATAAATTATTTAGAAAATTTAGATATTGCAATACATATAATACAATCTAATAAATATCAAATTAATGATAATATACAATTTATTTAATAAAAACTTATTAATAAATATTTAAAATATCATGTAATGATTACGAGTTGACTTAGTTATATTATAATGTAATAGTGTAATATATTATAATAAGCTTTATCTTTTAATTATATAATAAAAAATTCAAGATTACTTATAAGCTTAAAAATTGTAATTCTAAAAAAATTTAAATTATGAAATTGTTTAATCTTTTTAGAATTACTTTTAGCTATATTAAAAAAAATCTTGAGTCTTGGTATAATTATTCGGCCTCACATTAAACGTTTGACTGCACCCCGATTTGATCACGATCAATATATGTCAATGTGGACTGATGAAAAAATGACCACTTTTGACATCAGGGATCAAATAATTAGCATTTCTGACTATTATTTTTAAAGAATTCCGTAACATAGCCATGGGAAGGAATTTTAATATAAAACTGTTTCGTTTCGCTCTTAGTTTGTCTTATACTCTTAAAGGACTATTAAAGGACTATTACAGAACGCCGGCAGAGAAAGTTATATTTAATTTTTCTATTCAATTTCAGTATAATTTTTATATATTTCAAATATCAAATTTTTTTCTGTACGATTTCTCTTTAAATTTCTGTACGTTATTTTTGTATGAAAAAAAATTGAAATACTGTATCTACACAAAAACTGTATGATTTCAGTATTCACTTATACAAAACCTGTATGAAACCTTACATCTATTTTCATAGGGTATAGACAATAATAAATTTACACTTTAATACGTATTAAAATAAAACATGTTACTTGATTGGCATTTTGGAAATAATGGGTTTGGAAAATAAGTAACCTAAATACCTAGATACTTTGCATGTAAAATGCAAATATTCATCGAAATAATTTGAAAATAGCGATCTGATTTTAAGAAAAAAACAATTTATTGTAATTTGTACGTGATGATAAAACAAACTTAATCGACAATGGCTTGAAATTCCAAGTCAACTAATTGAGAATCATGATAATCGGCATCATCCTTCTCAAGGTATGAAGTAATAAAAGAAGAATTGGTAGGTTTTGCTAAATTATTAAAAGTAAATACTCTACTTATATATATAGCATCAGGATTAATTTTTATGAGATTGATATATTTGATATCTCTTTATCAGCTTCTTCAAATGCTTTTTTTATTTCCCTTCCATAATATCCGTGCTTTTTATCATTTTTGAATCCCTCATAATAATAAATAGAATTATACTAAAAAACCCATATAGCTCTTAAATCATTAATCATAGGTCTTTGAATTGGAATAGCATCCATACACTTGTAAGCTAACTTCTTAAAAAATTCAGGAGTTCCTTTACCAAATTCTGGACGAAGTCCATTACAAATATCTAAGGCTAAAGTCATATCATGTTTCCTATTATGAAATGGAGGTAATCCTGATGATAATTCGGTTATGATTACACCAAAACTATAAATATCGGAGGCCAAAGTATATGGTTCTCTATACAAAACTTCTGAAGCGAGATATGGCAATACTCCATATACTTGATCACTTGACTCTTGTTTATCAGTTGGTTTAGATAATCCAAAATCAGAAAGATATGTGTTTCCTTATTTTGTAAGATATTTCCACTATGCAAATCCTTATGACAATATTCTAAGCTATGTAAATGCGCAAGGTCAAATATTAAATGAAATAAAAATTTAATTTTGTTTTTCCATAAAATATCTCTAAAGTTTTTTGAAAGATTACTCCTCAAATTTCCCATACTTGCGAATTCTACAATCATAATAAATTCTTCAGTTACCGGATCTTTGATTAATCCATAAAATTTTAACGCTGAATTATAACTATTACATACATCCCAATGTATTTTAAGCTATTATCAAAAAAATAATTATTATAATTATTATTAAACAAACAGTTAACAACATAATATGATCATGGTGTAAATATACATCATGTAGGAATTCAGTTGACATATTCTGCGATTCATTTAACCTTTTTAAAACAACTTCCATAGGTTCGGAATCCAATCTTTTCCAACTTCCATTATTCGTCTTTTCAAATTTTGAATTACCATCTATCCATATTGCGGTATAAACCTTGGCAAACCCACCTTCACCAAATTCTTTTATATCTGTAAATCTATCAAATGGAACCCATTCGAGAAATTTTAAAGGTTTCGCATCATGCATTATGTCTTTAATTAATTTATCAACATTACGATTTCCGCTTGTCCATCCTTCAATTACCCTATATGGGTCACACTCTTTGCACTATAATATCTCAGTAAATGGCTTATTACAATAAGTACAGTTTACGTTTATTGAATTAGAATTAGATATATTTAATCTATTAAATTCAGATTCTATTACTTGAATTTCATCACTCATTTTTTATTTTTTTAAAAAAAGAAATGAGGGACAAAAAAGGAATTGAAATCAACCCAAAATTAGAATTTTACGGAGAAAATTTTCTGAACAGCTGATTGTGTTACAGAATGTACAGGGTCACGTTCACGAATCATGATTATGTTATCAGGTATAGCAGTAAAAATTGGAATTCTCTTCTTGATTATTTTCATAGAAGAAAAGGTTCAATAGCGAAAGTTTCAATTATTTAAAATTTTCATTATTACGCTATTTTCAAAAAAGTCAATTGTAACAATATCTAAAAATTTATGCCGATATCCTCGTCAATTTCACAAGATTGTTATTTCTCATGATCTATTCTAAATGCTTTCTTATAGTCATACTATGTATCCATATGAATACCAGATTACAGGTAACATTTTGAATTATGGAATATTTTGTATATATGATTCTCGATCCTTATTATAACATTCCAAGTTATAAATAAACATGCTAAACAATTTATTCCTAAAGTATACAATAATTCTAAATAATAACTCTTAATAATGATCACGATTACCTGCCCAACGAAGGGATATAGATTCTATCGTATAATGATTATTCACATGCAAAATAAATTTATCACCGCAGTCTAATACTGATGACCACAGTACCTCCTTAATAAAGCATAAGGTAATTGATCAAGCTGAGACTAAGGATAATAAATGTGGGATCATAGTCATATCACAGGTAAGTTTCGAGAAATTGCATACAATTCATGTAATCTTAAACTTCAGATCAAGTTAATAACCATCAGATTAAGTTATTACTAAGACATTCAAACTATGAAGGCGGGTCAGCTTAAATATATTGATAGTACGCAGTTCATGAATGCTAGTCTAGCTAACCTAAAAAAGAATTTGGAAGATGATAAATCAGTGACAAAGCAACATTATAAAACTTAACCTATGAACAATTAGCCTTATTATTTCATAAGAAGGTCTATCCCTATTATTATATCGATTCTCATGAAAGATTCAAAGAAAAAGAACTACTACCTATTCATGAATTTCATGGATGGCTTAAAGGAAAGATATTATGAGAAGATTATAAGCATACCCAGCCCAGACCGCTTAGTCACGGCAAATTTTTTATACCAACTTTAAAATTTTATACAGAGCATATTTATTTTAGAATTAAAAAAATTCGCATTTATTGTATTTACTTCACATTTATCTAATAAAATTATTTTCTTTATTTTTACTTCAATAAAACTTTATTTAAAATTCTTTTGCATTTGATTTACATACATATTCGTTATAATACATTGTGTTTTCTAAAATACCTAATAAATATAAATCACATCTTTACGAATTTAGAAGGTGACAATTATATCAATTATATCAATCATATTGTTCACTTATAATGCCATGCTTATCGAAACAATTGGCCCACTTAAAAAAAAGAATCTAACTTTACATGAATTTAAAATATCAGAGGCAGAAAGTGCCAATGAATCAAGTGATAAAGATTCAGTGCTTTGGTATACTGAGGAATTGGAAAATATTGCAAAGGAAACCTTACAACTTCTAATGTATAGTGTAAAAAGCATCATCCCATCCAAACGTTCTTTATGCTATTTAGGAAATTCTTTCCGAATCCAAAGAAAACGCAAAGCCAAAGAAAAAAATGTTGCTGTTGAACATAAAAAAAAGAATACCGATTTTTTTAATTTTACATCAACTAAAAAGCTAACTTAATTTTTGAAAATGAAAACTCATCTAATAAATCTAACCAAACCTCTGAAAATGAATTTAATTCAACAAACTGATGATCAGACGATAATGAGGATTTTAATAGGAAATATTTGTTATCTGATTATGAACTAATTAAAAAAATTGAAAATAAAATTAGTGACAATAAACTTCCGGCTGGTTTGAAATGTAAGTTAACTACAGTTTTACAATATCTTCAGTTAACTAAATTTAATAAATCAAAAATACAAGCAAGTTTATCTGTAGCATGCAAATTGGATTGTGATACTTATCTTACATGATCTATTCGTGAATAGGCTAATATTTTAAAAGCTGGTGGTAATCTTTCAGAATCATTTTGAGAAAAACATCCTAAAATTAAAAGTCTTTTAGAGAATAAGGATATTTAAGCTGAAATTGTTTTATATTTACGTGAAAATAAGTTTGAATTCTATATTACTGACTTTATAAATTATGTTTCAGATGTTATTTTACCAAAACTTGAAATTGAGCATGCAAAAAAAATTGGGTAATTATTATTTTTTTAAGATTAATTATTATGTAACACTTTATTTTTTTAATATAGAAATTTAACTGCAAAGCGGTGGCTTAATAAAATGGGATTTGTATTTAAGCAATATCATAAAGGAATATTTTATAATAGTTATGAAAGACCAGATGTAGTAGAATATCAACAACAATTTCTCACACAAATGGCTGAGTAAGTAAAAAACATTTATATAATTATAATAATTCAATTTATAAATACATTAATAAATTATTGTCTGAAGCGTAGCGTAGGACTGTTAAGTCTGTGCTATACCTGTCCATTTTCTGTCTGTCACGCTACGTGTTATATCCAATTAAATTTCGTGATCAGTTGTATCGCAATTTTTGTTTTGACATGTGCTATTTTAACGTGTTTATTTTTTAATAATAAAATTATTTATTTAACAATAGCGATAGTATAGCGATAGATTAAAAAATAAAATGATAAATATTCTTTAACAATAGATTTTTATAAGTAATTGTGAAACTAATAAAATAAAGTTGAAAAGTTGAAATTTAACTTGTGAATTTTCTCATGTATTTTTTGTATATTAAAGTATTTTTCCATAATACATTCAATTTATTCTGATACAAACTGCTAATTCACTGCAGGAGAGAATGGGCAAAGAGAGACGTTTAATCTCTATGATTCCTCAAGTTAGATCTGGATAATTGCATTTGTGTTTGGATATGATACATGAAGATTTTAATGATGAAAAAAAAATATGTATATGAGTTTATGTGTTTGGATGATAATAAGACTTGATGAAAAATAAAATTTATTTTACAAGAAAAATGGAACACCAATAAATTTTTTGCATTTATATGTGAAAATTTTTATATCGATTGGTTTTTTTAACATTTATCAAACTATTTTGGAACGATCGTTGTATCACAATTATAGAATACAATTAATTAATCTAATAAAGATAAGTAACTTTACTTTTTTAATTTAGTAATATACTTTTTTTATCAAGCCATCAAATTAATTTGAATGCTTCAAATGCTTTAACAGTTCCCGTTACCTAGTTTATATATTTATTTATAAATGAAAAATTTATGTCACAATTTGAAGGTGACAATTTAGAAATTCAAATAAATTCATTGTTAAAAAAGGGTAAAAAAAAACATGTATTTATTATACATGATAAAACAATTTTCTATACTAATGATAGTCACAAATCTGAATGGGTTTCAATTAATAAATAACCTTTAAGGAAAAAAGGACAAGGGTTATCAATTCATGTTAGTAATTTTCTCTATAAAACAATTAGACGTTTGCATTTATAAATAGAACAAAATAATGAATCAAATATTCCATATGAAGCTCGTGAAATTATTCATCTAGGTAAAAATAAAGATAGTTATTAGAATATTGAGTAATTAATTAAACAAGTAAGTATAAATATAATTACCAATTTTTTTAAAATATTCTTTATTTTAATTGATATTAATTACAGTCATACTTCAATATAACGAAGTTGGCATTCAGGCTGATCAGTCCTTCGTTATAAGAAAATTTATTATTACTATAATGAATTATTCAGTATAATAAATAATTACTGAAAAAGGAAAATACAAACATAATTTTACTATGATATAATTAAAGTTAATTTTATGATGTCATTTATAGAATAACCTCTTTGTGGTTAAAGTTAAAGTGATCTTGAAGCAATTTTGGTAATGCAAAAATTGGAATTAATCTTAAATAAAACAATTTATAATGATAAATATAAATTTATTTTTAAAAGTTTTGAGATCTCTTCATTAAACAAAAGAAAAAAAAGTAAGAAAATTTATTAATGATGGTTCAAAATACAATTAATTAATATTATTTATTTATACGAAAAAAAATAAAAAATAAAAAATAAAAAAAAAATAATAAAAAAAAAACAATAAAAAAATAAAACATTACAAAATGAAAACCTGGTAAAAAAAAAGAAATTAAAAAAAAATTAAAACCTCGATAAAAAATAAAAAAATTAAAAAAAACAAAAAAAATTAAACCTTTTACTCTTCACCCCCAACTACTGGTTCACTGTCGGCACATTACAAACTATTCTTCGATGATACCTAATAACTAAAAAATGTAAAAGATACTTAATATAAATCTAAAAATTCCTAAAATTTTTTATTAAGAACTTTCAATTAAACATAATAATTACCTAGCCTATCCCAAAACCTAATTCAGAATAGATCATAAAATTGTTTCCCATTATACAATCATCTTCTCCCTTCTCACACCATTACGTCAATCATAAAAGTCCTAAAGGATATATATTAATTACTTATTAAGTTATATTTATCAACATATTATTATTTATTTATTTACTTACCTCATAATTCCTTATCAGATAGGAATTTCAACACAAGTTCAACAAAAATTCATTACAAATTGGTTAAAAATTATAAAAAACGATATGAATTTTTCAACATAATTTCAATACTATCACAGGGAGGTGTTATTTAGTCAATACATTAAAATTTGTATTCTCATGACACTATTTTATTATATCATTACGTTTATTACATAAAAAAAAATACTTCCCAAATTATTACCATTTTTGCGTTAAAAAAAACAATTATAAAATAAAAAAAATAGCCTCAAATTATTATTAACATTATTACATTAAAAAAAAATATTACTATTATTTAATTATAGTAATAAACTTATTGAGATTGGTTTGTCTTGCCGAAATAAACTGGTTTTTCAAAGCTTCTTTTTTAAGCTTTTTAATAAGTTTTAATTCTTCATTATTCACATTGAAAATTTCCTCCTATTGTTTCAAATATAAAATTACTTTATCATAAGCATCAATAGCTTCATTATGAGTAATTGTCAGTAAAGGATTCTCTTCTCCTTCATTTTCTTGTTCTTGTTTATTAGGTAAAACTGCTTTTACAATTTCTTCGTCAGATATCATTTTTCCTGTGATCTCAGACTTATCAAATCGAACAAATTCTTCAGCAGTTAAAAGATCGATAAAAACAAGTTTGTCAATTAAAACTTGAACTTCTTCCAATTCTTTTAAACATTTAAGTTCAAGTTGTAAATCAGTGGAGGTTTCATCTTCGTATTATCATTGTTATCATTGGGCAGAATATCTGCTTTCAACTAACAATTTTGAATTGTCTCTTGTGTTACATTATTACATATTCGGGAAACATATTTCACATATTTTTTAATATTAATTTTCACAGGTTCAATACAATAATCATTGAAATAGTCAAAAGATTTGACCTGATTTTGTAGATAAAGCTTTCAATATTATGCCTAAAATAAGTTAATTTGAATTAAAGTATAAATAAAGTATAAAATATAGGAATGTTTAAATCGAATATGTTTCTCACCTTAAAACTATTAATGATACCTTGATCACAAGGTTGAAGATGCGTCGTAGTGTTTGGAGAAAGGTATTTAATGGTAATATTTGTTAATTGGATAGTTTCGTATAAAGGATGTGTTGGGCATTATCAATGAGAAGAAGAATATTTCAATTTTGCCTTATCATTCGATTATTAAGTTTCTTAATATATTTGTTCCAAATTGATACTTGCATCCAACTTTTTTTATTCTAGTAATATTCAACTGGAAGGGTCTTCTTATCAATATTTTTCAGGATCTGAGGCTTTTCATATTTGTGTATAAAAAGAGGAGCCAACTTTTCATTCCCAGTTGCATTACATGTAAGTAAGATAGTTACATAATCCTTTGATTGTTTAGTTCTAGATACTTGGCCATTTGATATTGTACAACTGGGTTTATTCTTCTAAAATAACTCATTTCATCACAATTAAAGACATCGTTGGGGTCATAATTCTTAAGGATACTACAAATTTTATTATACATTGCATCGAGATCATCAAGTGGTGCACTTGTAGCTTCACCTGTATATTATATTGCCGTAAGTTATACCATTTCTTGAAATTGTCTACTCATCTACTGGAACCATTAAATTTATTCTCACCACTCAAAAAAAGCAAACCCTAAAGCCTTTATTAAAAGAATACTATTAGTTATAACAAAACCAGCTTAAAGCGCATTTTCTACCCAAAGAGTTAAAGCTTTCTCAATAAAAGGAAAAGTTATCTTTTTTCACGTTTCAACCCAGCTTTATATAATTCAGTGGTTATAGCAAGCCAATAGTCCTTTTCTTTTAAAATATTACTAACCTACCCTCACTAACTTCTTCATATTTGTTTGCTAGATCTTTTTGTTTTAGTAACAGTGTTAGCTGAAGGGCTGAAAATAAAACTTAGACAATATAATTCAGTCCTTCGAATTAATCACAATAACTTTATCACAATCACACCTATATGAAGACATGGCAAAAGGTAATAGTAAACTAGGGAACAGGAACCGTTAGACAAGTCTAGAGCGAAATTTAACCAATAAGAAAGCAGATCAAATTCATGACAATTGTTATAATAGTTTTTAATTTAATTAGCTCATACAA